AGAGGGGTGGACTAGAAGTCCTCCAAGGTCCCTTCCAACTCCGTTATTCTGGATTCATAGAAGTGTGTAAGTTGCAACAAGAAAGGATCTCCACCGCTGGAGGTTTTCAAGGAAAGATTGGACAGCCATTTGCCTGGAATGGTATAAGCAGGGCTCTTTTTCTCATAGAACACCCAGAACGGAGTTCCGGCACCTTTTTGGGATGGAACCTTGCAGGGTAGGCAAGGCCGGTTGTATGATGTGTGTGAGTTCCGGCACCTTTTTTTTTTTTTTAACAAAAAAAAGCACTGGGGATGAGGGCTCTTGCCTTGGGCAGTGGGTTGGACTAGAACAGGGGTTCCCAACCGGGGGTGCTCGCACTCCCGGGGGGGGAAAGATATTCCAGGGGGTGCAAAAACTTGGGTTTTCAAAATTATAGTGTAGATGCAGAATTCGTTGCTGTTATTTCAAACTTTTATATGGGGTGCGAGAATATATCAGAAGCGTTCTAGAGGTGTGGGGTACGGAAAAGGTTGGGAGCCGCTGGTCTAGGGTCTCCTGCTTGAGCAGGGGGTTGGACTAGAACAGGGCTTTTCAACCAGTGATACTGGTACCACCTGTGGTTCATTGGCACCTGGCAGGTGGTACGCGACCATCCTAGAAAAGGGGTAGCGGGGGAGGGGAATGAGCTGAACCGGTGGCAGCACCGCACAAGCCTGAGTGAGAGACGGCTGGAGCTGCAGGGCTGTCAGGGCTCAGCGGAAGCGCCAGGATCAGCGCTTCTTCGGGGCTGTCAGGGCTCAGCGGAAGTGCCAGGATCAGTGCCAGGCTCCAGCTGGAGCTCGGTGCTGATCCTGGTGCTTCTGCTGAGCCCAGAAGAAGCGTCGATCAGCTGGAATGTTGCAGCATCTCCAGGGTCTTGTGATTTACATTCAGATGCTTGGCAACCGATTCATATTTATGACGGTCACAGTGTCCCAGGGTCATGTGAAGTGACCAAAACCTGCTGCAACCACCCAGCAGACGGGGGGAATAAAAACCAAATACCCCCCCACCCCACCCCCGCTGCCAATCCCCAACAGAAATGCTCACAACAATGAAAACCTCGGACAGGAGGAAGAGTGCGGCCAGGCGGGCAGGCCGGTGTCTTGCTCGGCTGTGCCCTGGGGGGCACTTTTTTCAGTGCCATTGTAACTTCGAACAGTCACTAAGCAAACTATTGTACGTCAAGGACTACCTGTACTTTATCACTTTTTTCCTCTTTTTTTTTTGGGTCAGAAAGTTTTGGACACCTTGCTAGGCGACTGGTGGCACTCGGATGTTGCCGTGTCCTAAAAGTGGTACAATGGGTGAAAAGGTTGAAAAGCCCTGGACTAGAAGACCCCCAAGGTCCCTTCCAACTCTGTTCTTCTGACAAAGAACCAAAGCTTTGGAAAAGGGAGGCTAAACAGGCCTGGTAAGAACTGAACAGGAGGGGCTGTTCTTGCCCAAGACTGCTCGGCTCCCCCCCCGCCTCCCCCCCCCCCCCCCATTCGTCCAAGGAGACCATCCCTGAGCTTTACAGCAAGGGTCAGAGCTCTTACAAACACCCACAGAAACCTTAGAGAAGCCAGAGAGAAACGCTGAGATTTCACTTCCGTTAAGAGGTTGAAATTCCTGTCCGCAGAAAGGCAGGATTGTGTCTTGTGGATCTTTGGGGTCCAGTTATAAAGTGCAGTCACTGAGTAGGTTGTTTCTTTGCCTGCAAGGCTCTCACGCTAGATGTATAAGGCACCAGGCTAGGAACCAGGAACCAGGTGAGTTCTAGTCCTGCCTTAGCCATGAAAGTTAACTGGGTGAGCTTGGACCAGTCCCTCTGTCTCAGCCCAACAACCTCACAGGGTCGTCGTTATGGGGAAAATAGGAGGAGGAAGGAGGACTGTATTAGATATCTTTGCAACCTTGAGCTGCTTTTAAAAATATAACAGAATAACAGAGTTGGAAGGGACCCTGGAGGTCTTCTAGTTCAACCCCCTGCTCAGGCAGGGAATATAATAAAGGCGGGCTTTAAATGAAATCAAATAAAATGAACTGAACTAAAATGAAC